GATGTCCAGCCCCTGGGGTTTACGGGTTTACGTTTTAGGGTTTAGGTTTAAAGTTTAGGTTTTAGGGCTTAGGGTTTAGTGAAGTTTAGTGTGTAGGGTTTAGGTTTTAGGGTTTAGGGTTTAGGGCTTTAGGTTTAGAGTTTAGGGTTTAGGGGCGGTGCAAACTGCTGAGGCCCCTTATCTGATGTGAGCCGAGCCCAAACCTTCGAGAACCCTGCTTAGAGTTTCGGGGGACTTCGTAAGTAGCATAAGAAGTACCCTAAGTGGGGATACAAATGGATATGGCCCCTTTTTCAGTCCCAAATATAGCACGGCACCCTTGTGGAAGGGACACCAAACAAAAACCTAATTTAGAGAACTACCCATTTATAAGGGTTTTTTGCAATTAATGAGGGATCTAACTTCAACAAAAAATGCATGGCAACGACGAGAAGACGATCAGGCAACGTTTGTATCGAAAGGGCGGAGTTGGTCTTCCTTTACAGGGTTTAGGGTTGAAGGTTTAGGGGACATTTACCAGGAATAAGCCCAAAATAGTGTTCAGCCGTTCTATCGCTTTCTCTCTCTCTCTCTCTTTCGCTGTCTCTTTCATACAAACATAAACCCTAAATCCTAAGCCCCATAATCCACACTTCGTCAGCATCCCCCAAATTTGTCAAGATCCCCCAAACCCTAAACCCCAAACCCTAAACCCTAAACCCTAGGCCCTAAGCCCTAAACCCTAAACCCTAAGCCCTAAGCCCTAAACCCTAAACCCTAGGCCCCATAATACACAGTTTGTCAAGATCCCCAAAAGTCGGAGGAGTTCAGCAGGAGGGAAGCTCCTACTGCTCGAGGGCTTCGGGGGGCTTCGACCTGGAAGGGGCCTTGAGGTCCCCTTAGACGGGTTTAGGGGGTTGTGGGGGTTTAGGGTTTAGGGTTTAGCCTTCGGGTTTTAGGAGTTATTAGGGGTTTAGGGGTTTTGGGTTTAGGGCTAGGGTTTAGGGGCTCAGGGTTTAGGGTTTAGGAACTTCGGGGTTCAAGGCTCAGGGTTTGTTAAACGGAGTCAGCAAAAAATAGGGGTACCCCCTTGAGGGGTCCTTTAAGGGTGCCTGTACGGGTTGTGTAATTGTATTGGAAGGGTTCGGGTCCTTGTAGGGGGCCTCTATAACTAGACTAGGATTTGGGGCGATATGATGGCATGTTTGTAGTATGAATGGGGCCCTAAGGAATAGGATGTGGTCCTGGATGTAACCCTAAACCCTAAACCATAAACCCGAAACCCTAAGCCCTAAGCCTCAGCAAGAATGTTGGCTCAAGCTGCTCCTTGCCAAAGGCATGACAGCAGCGGAAGCGATGCTTAGTCTTTTCGTATTGAGCTTGGCCCTGACCCTGGCGCCAAGTGCAGGCACCTGCCTGCCAGAGGCCGTTCCGGAATCCAGTCGGCTACTTGTACTGATAGGGTTAGGCTTTTTGGCCTTTTTTTTGGGGGGAGTTTTGAGCGTTAGGGCCCAGTTTTTGGGAGTTGGGTGTAAGCTTAGGGTTGAGAATTCAGCATTTAGGATCCCGGGATCCCGTGCTCAGGGTGTAAGATTTAGGGTTTAGGGTGTACGGTTTCGGGATCTAGGGGACCCTAACCATAAACCCAAAACCTTAAACCCTATACCCTAAACCCCTAAACCCTAAACGCTAAACCCCAAAACCCTAAACACCAAAACCCTAAACCCCTAGACTCCAAACAACCCTAAACCGCAAACCCCAAAACCTTAAACCCCTGAACTCCAAACAACCCTAAACCCTAAACTCTAAACCCCGTAAACCCCTAAACTCCAAACAACTCTAAACCCGAAACCCAAAAGCGCAAACCCTGGGTTTCCGGGTTTGGGGTGCCGGGTTTCACCCTAAACCCTAAACCCCTAAACCCTAAACCCTAAACCAAACATGGTCTGAGCTGGATCGGCTGGGTTTCCCGGGCAAGCTCGGGCGTTTTGGGGTTTAGGGTTTAGGGTTTAGGGATTTAGG